CTCTCTCTCTCTCTAATTCGCTCATTGTATTGTTTGCTTTGACAGTTCAATTCTATCTCTCTCTCTCCACTGCAAAACATACACCTAGATACATAAAACACCCAAACATACACCATATACTCTTAAACATATCGGTCATGTTCACAATGGGCATGCCACAATCACGCCTGCGAAACGTTACCGCCAGTTGTCATTTCCCGAACGCAACTGTGCGACGTGGTAGTGTCGTGTCCCCGTTTGCGAAACACGTGCTCCGTGTGTGGAAAGTGTTTCATACTCGTACATAACCGCCCAGAAAAGGTGTGCTCGTGGATTTCCCCCCTCATACAACCCACCACTCTACCGAGGTCATGTGAGACAGCTGGAAGAGCCGATTCGCGAGTGCAGGAAAAGACATCACAAGCAGCGAGCAGGTTAGGGCTTTGAGAACCAGGCTGGCGGACAGCTGGCTTGCAGGTTACCATGACATGGGACGAGTTGACGTTATCGGACGGCGCAGAGGGAGCGACACGATCAGAAGGATAAGCTTCAATGATCTCGTGCATTTTAGGCCAGACAGGGCACGTCGTCATGCGACCACGATCACGCGAGCGACCCCCGGGCGAGATAGCACCTTTTCGCGCCAAATTGACCCTATCGCGGGGATTTCTGGCGGCAGCGCGGCGCGGCGGTCCGGGAAAATGCGACGCGGGAGCAGCGGCCGCGAGCTTCAAGATGGCTTTCTCAGCGGCCACTTGCACACCCTTGGAGATAAAGCGTCAATTCTTCCCTTATCTCTATCATCAACCGTTGCCAGGGCACGTACCACTAGGCAACTTCAACCACCAGCAGCCACAGCAACAGCAGCTGCGGCACTACCACCAGCAGGCAGCAGCGTAACAGCCGTGCACGCCGATGGTGACTTCCAAGATGGCACTACAGCGTGCCTTGTCTCTCTCAATGGTGCCACTGGTCCTTCTTCTGCTCGCCGTCACCACAGCGGCGACTCCAACTCAGTTGGAGGATCCGAGCCTGCCGCCTTCACCAGAAGGCTGCAGGCGCTTCGGCCTCCGCTTCTGCACTATGTTGCGTGCCGCCTCGTCTCTCGCTGGCAGGGGCACACGCCGTCGGCAGGCCGGCGCCGCTGGTAACCACCAGCGTGGCGAAACTGATGGCTCGTCGCAGCCTCAGCAGGACAATGCAAGTCCGAGTGGACACGGCGAGGGCAACTTGCCGTCGTGCGTGCTGACTTGCTCGCGCATGCCGTGCCATGGGCCCTCCACCCGTGCCACATGGGGGCAGCATGAAGCTGCACTGGTAGGTGACGAGCGGCTCCACCATCCAGCTGGCAGTCACGGCGTCAGGCGCCGCCATCACGGGGTGGTTCGGCATGGGCTTCGGAACAGCGCTCAAGATGTTCCCCGCGGACTGCGTGATTGGCAACCAGGCGGCCACGCCCATTCCTGTGGGCACCTACAACTCCTCCAGCTACTCCTCCGTCAAGCTCACCACCGCCTTCACCATTGGCAGCAAGGCCTATACCACCTCCGGGACCACCGCCACCATGACCTTCACGCGTACCACCGGGGATGGTGGCGCGGCGCCCGTGCTCGTCAGGGGCGTCAACAACATCATCTGGGCCTACAGCGGCTCCTCCACCACCGTCGGCAGCCATGCTGATAGGTGCGTTGTGCTCTCTCTCTCTCTCTCTCTACCTCTCTATCAACCTACCTCTCTCTACCTCTCTCTACCCCTGTCTCTACCCCTCACCTCTCTCTACCCCTCGACCTCTCTCTACCCCTCTCTCTACCCCTCTACCTCTCTCTTCCCCTCTCTCTACCTCTCTCTACCCCTCTCTCTACCTCACTCTACCCCTGTCTCTACCTCTCTGTACCTCTCTCTTCCCCTCTCTCTACCGCTCTCTACCCCTCTCTCTACCTCTCTGTACCTCTCTCTTCCCCTCTCTCGACCTCGTCAATATTGTTTACCCCCTTTCGTCGCCTCCTTTCCCCACCCCGTGTCCACCCTCTCTCTCTCTCAGGGGAACCACCACAGCCGACTTCTCCTGCAATGGCTCCCCTCCACCTCCGCTGTCCCCTTCTCCTCCTCCACCTTCCTCTCGCCCCCCTCCTGTCCCCTCTCCCCCCCCTCCTGTCTCCTCTCCCCCACCTCCTGTCTCCTCTCCCCCCCCTCCTGTCTCCTCTCCCCCCCCTCCTGTCCCTTCCCCTCCCCCTCCTGTCTCCCCCCCTCCTCTCACCGCCTCCCCCCCTCCTCCTTCCCCATCACCCCCTCCCCCGTCTGCATACGCCTCGGGTAAAGCCTGCCCCGCATCCACCCTGCCTGGATACTCCTACCAGCTCGCCCTGCTGCTGCCCAAGTGAGTCCCTGCTGCCGCCCAAGTGAGTTTTTGATGTAGCACTTCTGCCGTTGCCAGTCTTGCTAACTACTGCTCATCTTGCTCCTCTCTGTCATTCCCACCACTATCATCCCAAACTACCTTACTTCTCTCACCTCATCCCCTCCCTCCCATCCCTCTCCTCCTTTCCCCACCCTCCTCCTCCATCGGAAGTGATACATTCCTTGAGCCAATGCTGGCTGGATATCCGTGGGGTGGCCTGCAAAGGCAGCCATGGTGCCAGCCGATGCTGTCATTGGCAACCTGCCTGGGGGCAAGGTCGCAACATACGCTCTCAAGGGATACCGCTCCTCTAAGCTCGTTCCCACCACAGCTATCAAGATTGAAAATGCGTCCACCACCAAGACTGCTGATAACTCCACTATAATCAGGTGAGCTGCTGCCTGCCTCCGCTGCTGCTGCTGCTGCTGCTGCCGCTGCTGCTGCTGCTGGTCGTGCAGTAAAGCTCATCTCCGTTTCTGTCTTCTCGGGACAAGCACACATCACCCGCCCTCACCTCCCTCCCTGGCAGGTTCTCGCGCATCAAGGGCACGGGCATGGCGGCCAAGTTTGCCTCGACGGCAGTGTCGAGGCTCATCTGGGCCTTCTCGGGCTCGGGAAGCTCGCGCCTCAACTTCCATGAAAGCAACTTGTGAGCGCACATGCACTGCACATGCCTTGTAAATGCCCTGCACATGCTGTGTACATGCCCTGCGCACATGCCTGCCACCTGCCGTTCACACACCTGCCCTTGAACATGCCTGATTTGTTTTTTCCCCCCGATTGCTATGTGATGGACTCAGCTCCTTTCACGTGCCTCCTCCCATGACCACCTGCACTCATCCGTACTATTATTTGACTCTTGATGCTTGAATGCGTGGTAATCGAATGCATGGTGCTCGCTGCTTGATGCTCTGTGCAGTGGAACTGCCAAGGTGGACTTCTCCTGCCGCGTTGCACCGACCAGCGATCCCTCTGCGGATCTCGACGATGAGCTTTAGGATTCAGGGGAACCAAGTTGAAGCGGCACCTACTTTGCCATTTTCATTTCAGCGAGAATGAGTTTTTTAGCATTGCAATAGTTCCGCCTGCCTGTTGAGTGGGGCCTTGTGGTTGCTGTTTTGGTTTGTGTTTTCTGTTTTCTTGGTATGTGTCAGCTGTAGTGCTGTTACGGTAGTTGTAGTGTTGGTGGTGTGGTATGTGTTTGTTGTATGGGTTGAGAATAAATGGAGATGCTCAACAACCACGTCTGCTCAAAGTCGAGTAAATCATGCTTCACGTATTTGCCATTCACGTTTCAGTGAATGATACTTTTTGTATTTGCTCAGGGCTGTGCTGTGTGTGTGTGCACTATCTTTGAAAATGGAAATACCCATTTCTGCTATGCAAGGCGAGCCATGGAATTTGAAAAATACCAGGTTTTTCAAGAATAGGTTTGAAAACATAATGGTACCTTTCTTACCAGTTCTGTTTGTCTACACTCACAATGAAAGTATTCGCAACTGTACTCCATGTTCACACTATATCTTGGCGGAATCTCGTTTTGCTGTGCCGTGAAACGGAGAGCCTGCAAGTTCATTTGGAGAGCTGGATTGCTGGGGTGGAGTTCCCTAGGCCTCACTTCAGTTTCTGATTGTTACTGCTGTTTCTGCTACTTCTCCATGGTTTTGCGGAACTCTCCATGGTGGTAGGATGAGGTCACAGCGCTAAGTAAGTGTTTCCGTCGCCGAAAATTCGTTCTCGCATGTTTCCCCTCCGATAGTCTCCAATCACATTCATCAATGGCTTCGTCGAATCTCGAAGCCGGATTGTGCTCGCCCCGCGATGACTCACCGTCTCGGCACTCGTTGAAGCGACTGAAGAATCTCAACAACGGCTGCACCCCCACCACCGCCGCCACTTTCTCTCCTCCTCTCCCTTCCAGCACCCCTGCTGCTATCGTTCAGGCAACTGCTGAAGCAGCCGCCACTAATTCAACCCCATGTCCAAGATCCGACGGTCAAGATCCGTGGCCTGTTGCCGTCCGGCCTCCGCAACAATCCTTGATCGTTTCAGAGCCATCGTTGGATGTGCCAGACGCGAACGAGATCGACGGCTGTGATCGCTCTCCCGTCGTTGCTGGAGTTTCTAAAAAGAGGAATCACCGTCGATTTGCCAGTTCCGATCGGCATGAGCTCTCTGATGATACGTCATCTTCGCATCGTTCTCGCAGTGAGAGTGCGAGGGATGAGCAGATTCGGTCAGCGGGAGAATCGAAACCTACTGCTGAAACAGGAGGAGCAGCTGATGTAGCAGCGACAGCAGGAGAAGCAGACACAGCCGCATCTGCAGAAACAGCAGGAGAAGCAGGCACGGTAGGAGCAGGAGAAACAGCGGGAGGAGCAGAAACTGCAGGAGCAGCGGAAACAGCAGGAGCAGCGGAACCTTCAGAAACGGTTGAAGCGGTAGGAGCTGCAAATGTCTCGGTTGGAGGGATTGATGAACCCGGGGAAGCGCATGCTGCTGCGACGGACGATCCGGCAGTTGCGGAAGTGAGCGAAGCTTGGGTACTGCATCGACAGCAGCAGCATCTGGGAGGCGAAGGTTCGGATCGGTCTATCCAAGGCGCGGCATTGATTGAAATGAATGGGGAGATTTTGTTCAGACCTGATCCGTCGGCCAGTTCCGGTGAGCGGTTGACGAGAGGGCATGACGGGGGGTGTGGTGCTCCTAGTGACGAGCGAGAGCCGGGTGAAGTGGATGGAGAGATGGGAGAGGGGGGAGAGGCGGGAGAGGGGGGAGAGGGGGGAGAGGAAAGGGTTGAAAGGAATGAAGTGGAGGCGGGAGAGGGAGGGGAAGAAGGGGAGGAAGGGGAGGACAACGGGGAAGGGGAGGAGGGAGAGGAAGGTGAGGAAGGGGAAGCAGCGGAGGAAGGAGAGGAGGGGGAGGAAATGGAGGAGGGAGAGGAAGGAGAGGAAGCGGAAGAAATGGAGGAGGGAGAGGAAGGAGAGGAAGGGGAGGAAGGGGAGGAAGGGGAGGAAGGAGCGGAAAGAGAGGAAGGACAGGCAGGTGAGGAAGGGGAGGAAGGAGAGGAAGTGGAGGAAGGGGAGGAAAGGGAGACGCGAGCATCAGGAGAAGGATTGGTGGGCATCGGGGCAGAAGAAGTGGTGAGCGTGAGAGTGATCGTGGAGGAAACAGAGGAAGGGGAAACAGATTCACAGATGGCCGAGTTAAGTGAAGGAGAGGAACGTGGAACATCTGCTGCAGGCGGAGAAATGGCGGGCCTTGGAGCTGGGGAAGGTGGTCCGGGAGAAGCGGAGCAGGCAGCACAGGAGGAAGCGTCAGATATTAAGGGATCGGCGGGTCAAGAGCAGCGGATGGAGGAGAGGCGTGCGAGTGGGGAGCAAGAAGGGAGTGCAGGGCAACGGGGAGATGCGGAGCAGAGGGTTGATGGCAACGGGATAATGCGCGAGACGATTGATTTAAGTGGGGAGGACGACGATGACGTACTCGTACTCTCTCCTGATGCTGTACGCTCACTACGCTCACCGCACGCTCTTCGTAGTTTAGTTTTGAGGCACCTCAAAAGCGATTGATTCGAGCAGGGAGGACGATGACGACGTGCTCGTTCTCTCTCCTGATGCTGAACGATCGTCGTCTGCTCATCACCGCTCTTCACCTGCTGCATGCTGCCCACCCGCCCTTCCCTCCTCGCTGCTCGCCCTTCCCCCTCGCCTCTTGCCCCTCTCTCTTCACCCGTCGTCCTTTACTCCCCTATCACGCGTCCCCTGCCTCCCTTGGCTCTTCAAGCGCCGCCCTTCTCTCTTCACCCGTCGCCCATCCTCCTTTTTAAAGCATCATGCGTTTCTTGAACATGCTAGCAGGCGCAGGGAGGTGGAAGGCAAAGGATCACGAGGGTAATGTTCCTGTTGCTTCATACAGAATCGTTAACAGACGTAGGACATAGATTAGTGCGGTTCCAGCGTCACTTCATGCCTGTGCTTCCCTTCCAAGGACCTTTCTCTCTTGTTACCTCATGCTTGGCCCATCCGTGCAAGCAGGTGCGGAGCGAGGGCAGGCGTAGGAGTACGAGGGGAGCACTGGCGGGCGCAGGACAGAGTGGTGGTGGTGGTGGTACGCAGACCGGTGTGCGCCGGTTCTTCATACCTGAGCGCCCCTCCTCGCGTGCAGCTGCTTCCAGCACTCACGTGCCGGCTCGACGAGTCACGCGGCAGGCAGCTGGTATGCTGTGAGGACGGAGTGTCAGGGCTGTGTGTGTGAGGATTGAGGGTGAGACCTAAGTGCGAGGGCACAGAGTGTGAGGGAGGGTTGAGTGGTACAGTTGTCACTAACTGCTGCCACTTCTTCCAATGCCATCACTCCCATTGCTGCCATATCATCATTTGTGCTGCAATGATCAACGTGGTCCGCTCGTCTCACCGTCTTACATCCGCCAGTCCACCTCCCTGACATCTCGTGTCTCCATCCATGCCATTCTTCCCACCATCTTCTCTGCCTTTCCCGTTCTGTTTGTTCTTCTTTTTCTTCTTCTTCACCTGAGCATGCATTCCTTCTCGTGGGTACGCACCTGTGCTGTCCCCTTGCCCACTCCCCAAGCCATTGCAGCAGCATCGGTGCCAGCGTCAGGAACTTCAGTCCGCTTCTCCGCATCCGCCTCCAATCGTACCTCTCGCCACCTCCGCTCCACTCCTGATGCTGCTTCAGCTCCATCTGCTCCTGGTGCTGCTCCTGCTGCCGCTGCTACTGCTGCTTCTGCTGCTGCTGCTGCTGCTGCAGCCACCGCTGCTGCCTCACATTTTTTCGGAAGTCACACAAGGAGCAGGGAGATTGCGCAGCAGCAGGAGGGTGCTCGAGCTGCGACTAGCATCGCGGATGCAGGTTCAGGGGAAGCAGTTGCGGGTGCTGCATCTGCTGCTACTGCTGCTGCTGCTGCTACTGGCGTGGAAGGGAGGGAAGGGGTTGCGATCACTGTACTGGTAGTAGATGACGATGACGACTGTCAAATCGTCTCGCCTCCGGTCAGGCGCACAGGCCATGACGCAAGGGTTAGCCATGAGGCAAGGGCTAGCCATGAAGCAAGGGCTCAGCATGAGCGGAGAGTCGCCAGCCGCACGCGCGAGACAAGGGCACCCGTGCGGGTAAGTGGTGAAGCACGGGTTGCCACTACCTGGGGTGAGGACGAGCAGCGGCATACTGATCGGATGCACAGGCAGAGGCAGGTGGTTGACCTGGAAGAAGAGGCAGAGGCGGAGGGAGGGGGAGGAGGGGTAGCAGAACAAGTGGTACATTCACCTGAAGTGGTGCTGGTGCGCGGTGGTGCCTCTGGGGGTTTACAGGGTGCTGTTGCCAGGCACAGAAGCCGGGTGGCAGACAGTGCGGCAGGTGCAGGGAGGCAGCGGCATTGGAGTAGCATGAGCACGGGTGGTTCTGCTTCTGCCATGGGTCCAGCTGCTATCAGATCGGCTGCTGCGAGTACGGCCACACGCCGCGCCATGATGAGGGTTCCAGTTTCTGTGCAGGGGGGTGGTTTACGCGGAGGGAGTGGGGTAGGTGGAAGTGGAAGGAGAAGAGAGGAGGAACCAGAGCCTGATGAAAGAGACGCGCAGGCATCGGTTGTTGGAGCAGCAGTAGGTGGGGGGGGTAATGGTGGCATGGAAAGGGGAGGGAGAGCAGAAGGGGGGATGCATTTGGTGTGCTCTGTGTGCCTGGATGATATGAGTGAGGAGACGGTGACGCCGTGTGGGCATGTGTTTTGCCGAGGCTGCATCACCATGGCTATCAGAGAGACCAGGCAGTGCCCCATGTGCCGTAAGCATATTCACCTGCGCCAAATTCGCCCCATTTTTCTGCGCAGCGCCATGAGATGAAGGGGGAGCACAAGTGCTTGGGCAGTGGTGGTGTGGTGTGCCATCCACAGAGCCTTTTTTCCAAGAAGGAAATGTACACTTCATGCAGCGATAGGTTGTGTATACGCTACATTGATTGGTGACAATGTCGTTCAATTTAAACTTTAAATCCACTTCCAGTTTTGTACTGTGTGGGTTGGTCTTTTTTGTCAATATACAGGGCTAAGGTTTCATTTCTCGCACAGCAGTTACCGCAAAACATCCAGTTTCACCCAGTCATATTTGGGCGATGATTGCATCGGGGAGCTCAAGCATGGTTGGCTGCCCGGCACGGGGCCGATGAGTGCGTAGGAATGACATCACCCTGGCTGGCTGGTATGGTGTGAACTAAACTTGAATAAAAATTATGCATAAAGCATTTTCTAGCTCCCATGGCTGTGCTCTATACAGTACATGCCATCCCCGCTCCATTCCATGGATGATGCAGCCAGCGCATGGATGGACCTAGAAAAATGTTTAGGCTGGGAGGCAGTGTTGCCCCAAGTGTCCGCTTGCTTGGCCAACAGATCCCTATGCGATCAAAGGTGTAGCTTTTTGAAACTTTATGATTTATAAAAACTTCGGGTGGATTTGTGGAATCATGGCGCATGCTCCTTGCCCATGTGCAATCTGTAATAAAATTCTAAAAGTTACATCAAATCTACTTGATGCTGATTCCGTCCAATCATCGTCCTTACTTAGTGCGTATGGTCGTGCCGCTATCACGGTGGGTGTTCTTCAAGTTGCGCTTCACGCCAGCCGTGACCCTCCACACGAATTGTTCTAGAAGCTACTAATGACCTGGCACTCGGTGGCGGTGGCAAGTTGAGTGTACCCTCGAATCTTCTGTTTAGTGAGCACGTGACTCAGATGGAGAGAACCAAAGTGTCGGGCAGAAAAAAATTTCGCACTCTACCATATTGCAAGTACAGAAAGCGGTTCAGGCTGGAGTATACGGAACTTACATTATACACAAGTACTTCAAGCTCTCAAAAGTAGTCAGTTTTTTTCTCAAACGTTGCCATGTAGTTCCAACAACGGTTGCAGGCTGTGGTGAAGCTTGTTCCGAAGCTGTCTTACACCCTTCGTCTTCCCCACTCACCAGATCATAACCATCAGATCCAGCCAGGTCTGCCATGCATACGTCATCCCTAAGAATACACTGTGCACTGCACAGTTTGAATGTCCCAAACGACCGTGCTTGCCCACCGGTGACCCTATATTGTACAGTATTTTGGGGTCAGCCAAGGCAGCGTGGCAGACCGCGTGGCAGACCGCGTGGCCTAACAACAACAAAGCACAGAGAAAGATAAAGGGCGAGGAGGAAAACAAAAGCAGTTTCTTCGATGAACAGTATTGCGACGGGGCGCCCTGCCCGCAATTTTTCATCACACCAACGAGCAGCAGCGCTGCATGCTCCCCCACAAGGAGCGTCTGCTGCATGAGTTTCTTGCACATCCGAAAACCAAGAGCGACTGAGGCCAACCAGCGATTTGCGTGTTCCGCGACGCTTCACCGGCATACGCTCGGTATCTGGCTGTTAGCGCAAGAGATTCCAAGCTAGCAGGAGGGGCAAATGTCATCCTTATCCTAGCAAGACTGCGATATGGTCGTTTCACCGAACTCGAGCTTTGATATCCAGCCGACTCAGTGAAAGTGTCGTGGCATAGTGACGGAGTTTTAGTGGCCTGCAATGGTAGATTCTTTCCTAACAGGAAACTATGGCTGAGGAATATGGACGTCAAGTTTCCCATTTTTCTAGCTGATATGATGATCTAGTTTCGCATGCTGCGGAAGCTTTCAGCCTGCGCTATTCGAAAGCTGATATAACCGACCAGATTTCGAAGGAACGATACAGCGGTCTTGAGCTATTTTATTCTGCAAAGTAGGAATAGTCCGCAAGCCTTGAGGTTTACATCTCTTCCAGCACTGGAGTTCGAAGTTGGGTCTGTTATTCCTTGAAAATCCGCCGTCCAATGAACTAAGGTTGGGGAGGACTGGAGCAGAGGTGATTTTACTTTGGAATCAAGCAATCGTTCCGCCTGTTCCTGGTGGTACAGACTAGGGTGATTAGGAATTAGCGAGAAATAGCCTTAGACACAGTACCGGGAGAGTTAGTGGCGGCGAGCTGCCGAGGCGTTGCGCTGCAAGGTTATCTGGGAGCAAGGAACATCAGCCTCGAGCTGTGGCTGTGGAGGTTCTGCTGACCCGTTATTGAGAACCGACTTTTTCCTGCCGCACTTGTGCAGATGGAAGAAGACATACCTTCCGGCACACGCCGGTCCTTACCGCTCCATCCGCCTCCCCCTTTCGCTGGCCTAATTCCTTCTCGCCCCGATCCCTCGTTCCCTCACGTCGTTTCCGCCGTTCCGACTAGTTTCTTTCCACACCACATCCCCGTCAACGCAACTACCGCCGCCTTGCACCCATCTCTTGTACCCCCGCACTCCGCAGCTTTGCCTATCGCGCCCGCGCTCCCGACCTTAGCGGGAGCCCCGCTCCCCGGACGCGCAGAACTTGCCGCGTTGGGCGCTGGGGCCGCGGGCGGAGTTACCGCAATTGGCGCTGGAGGGGTGCCGCTATTTGGCGCGGGGGAGGCGAGCGGACAAGTGGCTGCTTCCCCCGGCTGGCAGCCCGATCCCCAGACGGTTATGGCCATTGCCGCGGCGGCAGCGGCGGCGGCGGCGGCGGCAGCGGCTTCAGGGACAGCGCGGAGCAGCGGCGGAAACGGCCGGGGGAGTGGCGCAACCAGCAAAGTTCTTACCGGGGCTGGCGGGACTCGGTCCGGTCGCTGGGCTCGGCGCGCTGGGATTGACCGGCGGGTCTCCTGTCACGACTATGTCTACTTTTCCCGGGATCACTCCTGGTGCCGCTGCGGCCCTAGGCTCGTCTTTAGCAGCCCCCGACGCGTATCGGGGCGGCTTCGCGGGGGTTGCTGAGGGTGATCCTGCCGTCAACCCATCCCTTCTTGCCTCTTTCGCGGCACAAACTTCCGCCACTACCGGCCCCGCCGCTGCCGCCGCCGCCGCCGCTGCTGCCGCCGCAGCAGCCGCTGGTGGTGGCGGGAATCTTCTCCCCGCGCTCTGGCGCCTCAATCCGTCGGCGGCCGCGGCGGCAATGGCGGCTGCTGCGGCGGCAGCCGGCGCTGCGGGAGCGGGTGGTGGCAGGGCGGACGCCACAGGCGCGATTGGCGGCACCAGCGGCACTGGCGCCGCCGGCGGCGGAGGCTTCGGCGGAGCTCCTCCTACTCTTGCACATCTGTGGGCATCGCGTGACGGGGGCAATAGTGGAGGGGACCGACGGAGCGGGGAGGGCAAGCGCACGGGGAGCGGTAGCGGCGGAGACAAGCGGAGCGGGGAAGGCAGGCGCGCGGGAAGCGGCAGCGGTGGAGGCGGGGAAGGCGAGCGCGGGAGAGATGAAGGCAGCGGAAGCGGCGGGCGCGGTGGTTTGGATTGCGCGGCTTCACGAGCAGCTATCCGCGCGGTGGCGGCGATAAGCATCACAGACAGCGGAAGTCGGGTGGGCGTGGGCGGGGAGGGAGTCGGGGGGGATAGCGGAGGCCCCCGCGGAGGGGGAAGGGCAGCTGCGGAGATCGCGGGCGGCGGGCGGCGAACGGGCGGAGCAGCAGCGAGCAGTCAGAGCCCGAGTGTGACTGTATCGGAGTCAGTGATTGGCGGATACGGTAACGCTGGTGCGGGTGCGGGTGTTGCGGGGGATGCTGCTGCTGCTGAAACAGCTGGCACTGGAGCCGCAGCTCGGTCCGCTATGATGCTTAACCGTGGTCCTGCTCAGGCCTATACCGCGTACACAGCACAACCTCCAGTCGCGCATCGTCCCCCTCCCCCTCCGCCCCCTCCTCCGCCGCCCGATCTTCACCCTCCCTCCCGCCCATCCTTCCCCCCGGCACCTTCCGCGCGCGCCGCCCTTCCCCAGAATACCCCCGCCCCCGCGCTATCCCCCCCGGGTCAGTTTTTCCTCCCGACAGCCGCCAACCCGTTTGCTGCAGTGGCGGCGGCAATGGCGGCGGCGGCGGCGGCAGGAGGCGGAGGAGGAGGGGCGGGGGAAGCGGGGACTGGTGCGGGACTCAACCCCCTTCTCGGCGCGCTCTCGCTACCGCTCTTCGCCAACGCCGCTCCGCTTGCAGGTGGTACCGGCGGAGTGGGCGCGGCGGGGCTTAGAGCGCTAGGAGCGGGAGCGGGAGCGGGCGGGGGGGATTCTGCGCCAGCTGCTGCAGCAGCGTTACGCGGAGCAACCAATTTTGGAGCAGCAGGGTTGGGAGCAGGGTTAGGTGGAGGGCCGGGGGCAGGAGCGGTCGGGGGAGGAGGGGGATACGGAGGCAATTCCGCAGCTGCAGCAGCAGCCTCCGCAGCAGCAGCATTAGCAGCTGCGGCGTTCGCTGTAGCCTCTGCTCCCTCCTCCACCGCCGCCGCCGCTGCTGCTGCTGCCGCCGCGGCAGCAGCGGCAGCGGCGGCCGCAGCAGCGTCAGCTTCAGAAGAACCTTCCTCATCCGTGGTTCCGGCTATCATGGGCCTTGGCGGAACGAGGATGGCAGCAGATGGGGGGTTTTCTGGGGTGGGTGGATTCGGAGGGGCTGCAGGCCTGGGAGCGGCAGCTCTGGGAGCAGGGTTAGCAGGAGCACCTGGGTTCCCTGCTCTTTTCGGCGCCCCTGGTCTACATACTCCTTTGCTTGGATCAGCCTTACCTACCTCAGCCATGGCTCCTGTCTCTGCCACTCTCCCTGCCACTGCTGCTGCCTCTGCTGCTGCTGTTGCTCCTGCTGCTGCTGCCGGTGGCCTGTTGCTGCCCGGTGTCCCTGGCGCCGTTGCTGCGTTCGGCTCTCCTCCTACTGCTGCGCCGCCATCTGCAGCATCAGCCGCAGCAGCGGCGGCGGCGGCCGCAGCGGCGGCGACAGCAGCAGCAGCAGCAGCAGCAGCAGCGACAGGAGGGCAGTCCAGTGCCCCAGCGACTGTAATCACGTCTCTGTCGGAGAACCCAAGTGACCGCCCCTGGTGGTACAGGCAGGAAGGGTACAAGTGCGGCGTGTGCGGCGCACATTTCACCTCTGCGCAAGCCCTGGGAGGGCACATGACCCGCCATACCACTCGCAAGCGACGCATTTCCTCCGCCTCCAGTGCTGCCGCTGCCGCTGCCGCTGCTGCTGCTGCTGCTGCTACTGGCGGTGCTGGTGATGCCTGTGTGGAAAAGCAGGTGAAGGTCGCTGAGAAAGGATCAGCTGTTGCTTCTGCGGCTGCCACTGGTGGTGCCGTTGCTGGTGGTTTGGGCGCACATGCAGTAGGCACAGGTATGCTCTCCCCTGGTGCTGCTGCTGCTTCCGCCGCCGCCGCTGCTGCAGCAGCAGCTGCTGGCACTGGTGCTGGTGGTGCTGCTGCGGCTGGTGCATACCCTGTTGCGCAACAGGGGAAGGCAATGGGGACGGAAGACGAGAAGACGGCACAGGGGGATTTCACGGGGGAGGATCGCAGGGGCCGTGTGAGGCGCAGGGCAATCCGACCGGAAGCGAGCACTGGGGCAACAGCAACAGCAGCAGCCCCTACAGACGTCAGCTTTCCGCATTGGACGGCGGCCGCTCGCAGTCCCATTGGCATTGCCATCGGCAGCGGTGGTGGTGGCGGCGGTGGAAGTGGCGGTGGCGGTGGTGGCGGGAGCAGTGGTGGGGGAGGCATGGGTGCAGTCAATGCGAGAGCAGCAATAGCAGGTGCGCCGAGCACGGCCCTCACGTCATCTTCATTGTTATCTGGAGTGGCAGCAGCAATCCCTGCGTTAACACCAGCATCTGGAGCGTCGCCCGCATCCGCTGCAGCTGCCGCCGCTGCCGCCGCCGCGGCAGCAGCAGCAGCAGCAGCAGCCGGAGCAGGAGGAGGAGGAGCAGGAGCAGGGGCAAGATCAGCTCTCGGCCCCTCTGGCCTTCCCCAGGCGCACCCACCTGCCGCCTCACCGCTCATTCCCGTAATCCACTCCTCTGCATCCCTCTACGCGCCTTACAACTCCCACACCTACTCCCTTGCAGCATCCTCCCGCGCAGGGCCCATGAGCCCGCCCAGTGCAGCAGGCAGCAGGGCAGGCTTCAAAACCCCCACCGCCGCCGCCGCCGCTGCTGCGGGTGCGGGTGGCAGCGCTGCTGCGGATGCAGGCTCGTTTGGCGTGGTTGCGTCGCGGGGAAGCGCGGGTTCTGGGTTTGGGTCGGGGAGAGGGGGAGGGGGAGGGGGAGGGGGAGGAGGAGCGCCGTCGGAGTCGTCTGGCTTTGCATCGTCCATGCCCCCCCCTCGCCATGCGCTCGTGGGCTCTGCAGGGTCCTCGCCCGCCTATGCCCTCTCCACGCCTCCGGTCGTGGGATCGGTGCTCGCAGGGGCAACGGAGGTGAGCCGGATTGAGGCAGTTCGAACAGGCGGAGTTACTGGTGGTGCTGCTGCTGCTGCTGCCGCCGCCGCCGCCGCCGCTGCTGCTGCTGCTGCTGCTGGTGGCAGCGGTGGTTTTGCTGCCGGTGTGACTGAGACGGCTGTAGCTTCGCCTGTCTCGGACCCTGTGCTCTCCACTCGTGGCGTGGTTCCCTCGCCGCTCACGCACTTCCCCCGCGCGGCCTCGCTCCATCCCTCAAATCCCAAGCAGCTTCCTGCGTTCGTCTTCTCCTCCCCCTCGCTCGCTAACGCCCCTGTGACTGCTCTTAAAGCCTGGAGGCCCACGCAAATGGGCATGGGCGAGTGGGGGGGTAATGATCACAGTCATTCAGACGAAACGGCGGCTAGAGCGGCTGCTGCTGCTGCTGCTGCTGCCGCCGCTGCCGCCGCTGCTGCTGCTGGGACAGCAGGGGCTGCTGCGTCGGCGACTGCTGCTGCGGCTGCCTGGGCTGCTGGTGTTGTTGGCGCGCAGGGCGGAAGGGGGGTGGAGGAGGTGGGGTGGCCGACCGGAGTGTCGGCGGCCGCTGCTGCGGCTGCAGCGGCGGCGGTGCTGGCGGGGCAAGAGGCGGCAATGGAAGACGAGCATCAGATGCAGAAAGGCGGGCGGAAGAGAATGCGCGTAGATCTGGAGCCGGATAGAGATGTGGAGATGGTTGGGGGAGGGGACCGGGGAGGGGGGTTGCAGGGAGGGAGGAAGGGAGAGGGGGAGGGAGAGGTGGAGGGAGGAGAGGAGTGGAAGAAGGAGTCGTTTGGTGTGATGCAGGTGGAGGGGGATGCTGAAATGGAAGAAGCGAGGGAGAGGTGGCGCGCTGGGGAGATGGAGAGGGAGAGGGAGCGGGAGCGGGAATGGGACTTGGAGAGGGAGAGGGAGAGGGGGTGGGAGAGGGAGATGGTGGTGAGGGAGAAGGAGGAAGAGAGGGGTGAGGGGCGGCAGGAGCTTGCGTTCTTTGGCCATGCGGGGTCGTTTGATGGCTCTGGCCTGTGGAAACCCTCTCCCTTGGGCCGCCAAATCCCTCCCACCCCCCCGCCGCCGCCTGTACCTGCACCTGCAGCATGGGCAGCAGGAGCAGCAGCACCAGGCGCAGGTGTAGCCAGCGGGGTGGCAGCAGCTGCTGCGGGGTGGAACAGCGGAGGAGGGCTTCGAGGTGACTTTGCGCCGGTAGGGTTTTCTGGGGGAGGCGCATCTGTCTCTGGTTCGGTGCCCAAGGATTGGACTGCCACGCCGTCAGGCCCGTTCTTCTTTGAGGGCCCCTCGCCTCATCCTCACTGGTGGTCCCCGTATGCTGCGAGCACATCAGCAGCCGCGGCAACAGCCACTGCAGCGGCAGCGGCGGCAGCGGCTGCAACAGCAATGACCGCAGCTGCTGCTTCTGCCTCTGCTGTTCCATCAGCACCTGTTGCCTTCCCTCCTTCCATTGATGTTTTCGCCCTTGCTGCAACCACAGCTCCTCCACCTCCCCCTCCGCCTCCACCTCCTCCTCTTCCTCTTCCTCCTCCTCCTCCTCCTCCTCCCCCTCCTCCTCCTCCCCTGCAGCTTCCTTCCTCCCCAACATCGCACATCAGTTCCCTCGCCCTGCCATTCCTGCCCACTCCTCCAAACCTTCTCCCGCACCTGTGGCTGAGCTAGTGGGTACGGGGTCGGTCGATGCAGCAAGCGCGCCGTGGCACCTCTTACACGCGCACGCACTCGCCTCTGCTGCTCGAGAGAGCGGCAGTGCGGACGCAAGCGGCAGCGGCAGCGGCGGCGCCGCCGGCGGCGGCTGCGGCGGCAGTGCGGGCCGCGGCGGGAGCGTGAGTCGCGGCGGCAGCGTTGGCAGGGGCAGCAGCAGCGCGGGGCGGGGCAGCAGCGGCCGCAGTGGCAGCAACGGCGGCGCCGGCGGCAGCGGTGGTGGTGGTGGGGGTGTGAAGCATTCGCTGCACTTCCCTGCCCACCTGTCAAGACCCCGTGTCTTGCCCTCGGGGTTTCTCTCGGGGGGCATGCTTGGTTCGGAAGCCCCAACAGCAGCAGCAGCTGCTGCTGCTGCTGCTGTTGCTGCTGCTGATGCTGCTGCAGCAGCAATGGCAACAGCAGGGGTTGCGGGAGTATCTCTGGATAGGCAGTTTGGAGGCGGGATAGCTGTGGGAGAGGCTATATCTGAAGCCAGCAGCAGCAGCAGCAGCGGGCGCGGGAGCAAGGCGAGCAGGGGCAGCAGGAGCAGCAGGGGCAGCAGCCGGGGCAGCGGCGCTTCCAGTGGCGGGGGGAGACGCAGCGGGAGCAGCGGGAAGGAGCGAGACGGGGGAATGTGGGCAGGGGGAGGAGGCGGGGCGGGGGGGACGGGGAAGGTGAGGGTGAAGGAGAAGGAGGGGGATAGAGCTGGAGGGGGTGGTTTCCCGGGAGCGCTGTCGAAGAAACGGAGGGAGAGGATGGCCCCTGATGTGGTCCCTGAGGTGGGGTTGGGAGATACTGGGGCGAGTATGGCAGGTGCCGCTGGTGGGTATGCTGGTGCTGCTGCTGGTGGCAGCTTCAGTGGTGTGGTGGTTGGTGCAGGAGTGGGGATGAGAGGCCACGAGACTGCAGCAGCAAGAGGAGTAGGAGGGGGAGGGGGAGGAGGGGGAGATATGCTAGGCGGAAGGACCCCTCCCCCCACTGGATTCTCCCTCTCCCTCTCCCTCGCCCTTCCAGGCCCCTCTCTCCTGCCCAAACAGCAGCAGCAGCAGCAAGGCTGTGCCACCATGCATCCGGGCTTCTTGGGGGAAAGTCACAGCAGCAGCAGCGCTGCCGTTGCTTGTGCCAGTGGCACCAGAGTTGTTGGTGATGGTGCTGCTGGTGCTGTTGATGCTGGTTGCGCTGGTAATGCTGCTGGTGCGGACCCGAGCTTGCACTTGTGGGGGTTTGGACGACGGGAGGGAGCGGCTCCCACGAAGGCACGGAGAGGAGGGGATGCGGGCGCTGGTGCATGGATGCAGCAGGCAGATGATAGGACAGGTGAGATGCGTGCGTGCAATCGGAACCGAGTCAGCACAGGGAGGCAGGGTGGTTCTTAGCGATCGCTTATTTGAGATCAGGCGCGAAGGCGCAAGAGTTTACAGTGATTCATTCGGCCCCATTCACAGTGGCCGTTCTTTGCGGTTTTTGCACTCGCATGCTGCCAGTTGGTCGGTTGGTTGGATGGTCAGTCTGTTTGGTTGTGTTGTGCTGTTGCGTGCATTCTCCAACTGGACGTTTCCTTAACATATTCTGCTCATCGTTCCCCCCGCCCCCCCACCGCGATTGCGGTCTCCCCTGTGGTCACCCTGTGGTTATGCTGCAATTTTGAACCGTGCAGGGCAATACTAAACTCAATCCAGCCGCCCGTGCTCCTGCCTCCTACCTGCCTCATGTGCCCCGGCTGCTGCTGCTGCTGCTGCTGCTGTTGCTGCTCCCGCTCCCGCTCCCGGTTTGCTAGTCCGGTCGGGGCCTAAGCCCTGTGCTGTGCATCACGCGCAAACATGAGAGCGAGAGAGCGCGAGAGCGCGAGAAAGAGAGTGTCTGTGTGTGGTTGTGCCGCCTCGTCGCTGTGCTCCTCGTAAGGATGCCACCTGTCCCTGCCTCTTCCATTGCCTTTCGGATAGTACCTGTGTTCCTGTACCAGGAACTTCTCTTTATGATCCTTGTTACGGTCCCCTAAACCTAAACTGCCTCTGACACAGTGATCTCCCTTGCCTCTTCTCCATCATTTCTTAAGGGTTCTTCGCTCTTGTGCTGCGCGTGTCGTGCATGTGCTCTTTCATTATGTGTACCCATGGTTATTGAATCACCATAGTTGTTTTTTTTCTCCTTCCTTCCTCTCCCTCGTTCCTTCACCAGTTGCGCCCTGTCACCCCCTTCTTCCCTCTCCCGGCGGTTGGTTCCGCTGTTCCCCATTATCCCACACCTTTCCGTTTCGTCCTCCCTCTTCACCTCCTCTCCCCTCCTCCCCACTCCTCTCCCCTCCTCCCCGCTTCTCTCCCCTCCTCCCCCTCCTCTCCTTCTCCCTGCGTCTCCCTCCTGCCTCTGCAATGGCATCTCCCTCCTGCCCTATCCATGCCTTCTCTCTCTCGCCTTTCAGGTTTCGAAAGCGCAATTTACTTTGCAGGGCAACCCCTGCCCTCTCTTCCTCTCCCTCCGCACTTCACTGCAGGCAACAACGCTTGCTGCGTGCACACTGCTGCTGCTGCCCCTCCGCGTGGATACGATTTTCTTCCCGGCCCGACCGACCCGTCCAGCCCGTCCGACCCATCCGACCCATCCGACCCGACTGGCCCGACCAATGACGACCTCTTGCAAGGGCTACCTCCACAAGTCGCGCAAGGATACCACTCGTTGCAACCCAACCCACTACTCACTCCTCCTGCTCCTGCTCCTCCTCCTCCTCCGCCTCCTGCTCCTGCTCCTCCTGTCCACCTCCATCCGTCTCACATCGCTCCTCGTCCCCTCGGTCAACGCCCGTTGCCTCTCCCTCCTGCTGCTCCTGCTTTCCACATGCCTTCCGTCTCCCCGGCCTTGCAACTGCTGCTACATCCTGAGGGTCCCACAGTTCAAGGCCTTGTTACAACCGTTACAACCAGTGACTGTGCCATGGATTGGAATGCAGACGGTCCGGCCTCTTTTCCAACCTGCTATCCGCAGCCCTTTCCTCCGTCCATTCCCTTATTTCCCTCCATGGCCTCCGTTACCCCTCCGTTACCCCCTTCCTATCTTCCATCGTATCGTGCCGCCCCCGCTTCTGCATTTCAACCAGCCACAGCTCCTGCGTATCATCCCTCCAATCCCTCCTTCTATTCCGCCTCCTATCCCCCCTCCTGTCCCGCCTATCCGCCCCCGGTTTTGTCCTTCGATGCAACGGGTGCCGCCTTTGCCCACAGCAACGGCAACCTTGCTGGAGGTAGCCTGACATGGGACAGGAGTGCTGCTCCCTCTGTGTACGATCTCAACACACCACCACCACCACCACGGCCACCAGCACAGATATAAAGAGCTGTGCAATGGAGAGCGGCATTGGTGTCACCACCGCACCTCGTGCCCATTGGTGTGTTGGTTCTTTGGCCAGTCTTAGGAGTTGCGGTGGAAGAAGCAAGCGATCATGGATGGACAGAGCTTCTTTGAGGCGCCGCCATGACCATATGCATGGAAGTCGGCATGCATAGACAGAGTCGACATGCATGGAAGTCGGCATGCATGGACAGAGTCGGCATGGAGCAGCAGAGGTGCTCTGTATGTGGTGTAGGTAGGGTAGCACCGAAGAGTTCTGCAGTTGCCCTGCTAGTTGCCCTGGCTAGGGAACTGGTCAGTGCACATGTCACAGCCATAGGATAGGATAGGCAGCTCTTCTCTTTTATTTTTCTCACCAGGCTTGGTGGTAGTGTGATTGAAGGACGGCCTCTTTAGTATGTTTTTCCCTTGCGGCTTTTTAATTTCCATTCCATTTTCCATACATGTGGAACAAGGGGTGTGTGTGCAACAAGTGAGCTCCCATCCCTTGCAAGGGGAATGCCAACCAAGAATGGGCTCCATTTTGTTTCTGTGGTATCTTGAAAGGCAGCCGATTCGATGCACTGGCACGCCCATGCCCTTGATGTGTGAGAACCTGGTGGGGAAGGGAGGGGAGGGGAGGCGTGTTTTGTGTGGGCAGATGGTCTGTCCCGGTGGGATACAAACAAAGATGAGGTTTGGGTTGACTTGGAAGACTTTGTTGTACCGTATTATGGATGCAGGATAGCCTGCAGAGGGGGATTGTGTCCAAACTTGCAAAGCATAGGTGCTGCCGTATTTCCTCCATTCTATTGAGAAAGCTTGCTTTCTTGTCCTTATAATTTGGCATCGTTCTCATTGCAACTGGGCATCGTTCTCATTGCAACTGGCTTATTACAACATATGCATCGTTCTTAAACACATGCTAGTACATGCAAATATTACTAGCTATGGAGTCGTCCGTCCAAGCAGCTGTGGTCTTGTAGTTGGTTCGGGGTGGGTGGTGGGGATGTTGATTGAGCCGTTGGAAAACGAGAAACGTGGGTGGAGGGAATGAACTCCAACCCACGGTTTTTGTAGTTGGAGAAGGGCGTTTAGCGCGCTTCGACGCTGCCAAATATTCGGTACAGGCAGCTTCGCTTTCACAATACACAATTTTGAAAAACATCAATGTGTTTAAAATTTTTTATATTGAGAAAGCTTGCTTTCTTGTCCTTATAATTTGGCATCGTTCTCATTGCAACTGGGGCCTCTGAGACATGGGCAGTGGTGGCTTCCGGTTGCGTAAGAGTGCCTCCGCATGCTGTTCTGGGGGCAGTGCGTATGTCGGGTCCTGTAGGTCGCGGGATGCCTTGATAAGATGTCCGACGTATGGTGTCACGTACATCTCTCTGGCTGTGTCACTTCGCCACCTGCCCATCCTTTTGAAGATCCTGTCCGGAACGCCGATGTTGGCTGCTACGGTTGCCGCGCCCTTTCGGAAGGAGTGCGTGCCGAGCTGCTGCTCCCCAAGTCCAACTTTTGCGAATGCTTCTTTACACCAGTTCCGGATCGTTGTGTACGAGGGTGGCTTGGCCTGGCCCTTGTTGGCTGAAGCGTGGCCAAAAACACGAATCAGCGACCCCTCTGAATGCGGGCCATAGCCAGCGAGTTGGAAGAAGCGTTGGGTGCAGCGCACGGGGCAACAGGGGTCCGTCGTTGCTGCGATGGGGATCCAAGTTCCACGACCAGCCTGGTCCGTTTTGGAGTGTGGGATGAGGATCCACATGACTTCGTCGTCGAATTGGATGTCTTGCCACTGGATGGCAACCAGGTCGGAGTATCGCAAAAATCCGGAGTACATGAGGATAGGGATCAACCCCTTCTGAAATTCAGCAGGATTGGCCGACTGCAAGTAGTTCGCGGACATGTCCCGAACTTGTTGGATTGATACAGGCTCCTTCAAACGACTAGGGCGAGGGCAGTGTCGTTTCGCGTAGTCCCGTACTTGGGTGGTAAACGGTTCGACAGTCGGGCATTTGCTTCCAGTCATGCGATGGGCGAAGCTGACTGCCGAGCACGTGAGCTGTACTACAGACAAGGTTGCTTTGCGTTGGATTGCATGCACCAAGTATAGCGCGAGGGCCATGTCGGACGCGGGAAGAAAGGGAAGATCCACCTTTGTGCAGAAGGCCCGAAACTTGGTCCAGTACAGTTCGTATGTACGGATCGTCGAATTCGCTCGCGATTGTGTGAGCATGTTGATGAGTTGGTTGTGTAGCTTTGGTAGCAGATCTGGACACAAGGCACGTACGCTCTCAATTAGTCGAATACCACCCGAAGTGCGATCATTGGGCTGTGTGGTAATCCGGTGCCTGAAAAATCAGTGGAATGTGTTCCCGCTGCCAGGCACTGGCTGCCGTGTGTCAAGGGAATGTGCGCGTGGATGTACGGTGCCCAGTTTCGTGGGGAAGGTTGTATGAGTGGCCACCAGTTTGCACCCGGCCAGTGTGGGATGATCAGTGTGAGCGATGCATGGGTGCGTTGTGCGTGATGGAGGACGGCCGGTACTAAGTGGGGCGGGGGGAAAGCAAAGCTATTTTCTGCTGTCCAGGCGAGCGAAAATGCGTCTACTGCGGTGGCTAGTGGGTGAGGAATTTTCGTGCAGAAGCGTGGCAGCTGAGAGTTGCGGGAGTTTGCAAAGAGGTCGATGGAATGGGGACCCCAACGTCGTTCTAAGATGCGGAACCACGGCGTCTTCAACGAGTAGTCGTCATGATCGACTGCTTTTGAGAGCTCATCAGCGTGTGAGTTTAGCTCGCGTGGGATCCATTCGATGATTAGACGCGTGCCGTGCTCCATGCATATCCGAATGATGGCTTGGCAGGCCGTGGTAAGGTCGGGGCTGCGCGAGCCACCTTTGCGAAGGATGAAGAAGACGCCCTGATTGTCCACCCGCACAAGAACATGTTTGTGTCTGATCTTGCTGGAGTATGTTTGGAGTGCCCAAAGCACTCCTTCGATCTCCCTCCGTGTGCTGGACGTCGCTCGCAGCGGCTCTGGCATTGTTGCGCTGGCTTCTTCGAGGCCGCCAGGGAAGGTGGTCAAAGTGGCGCCCCAACTGTGAGCGCTAGCGTCCACATGGATTACAGCATCGTAGCTGTTTCGAACGTGAAACGGCGCACCGTTGAACCGATCAAACTCTTCGAGCCAGAAGTTTAGCTCCTCAGCCGCAGGTGGGGGGATGATCACGCTGCTTTTCCATGAAGGTGCGTCATTGATCACTTGTAGCATGGCGTGGCTGAAGGCACGAGCTGTTGCACCCAGCGCGACGCCCATTGACGCGAGCATGCCTGTGATTCTGGCCACTTGGCGAACTGAGACGGGTCGACGTGCCTTGCTTGCGCTCAACAGGTTCCGAATGGTTGCATGAAGTGAGGCTCGTCGTTCGGGACCGATGGTAAATCGGCCGGTGACCGTGTCTAGCTCCACACCCAAGAATCGAAGGTGTTGCGATGGTGACAGTTGTGATTTCTTCGCGTTTATCACCAAACCCGCTGCTTTAAGGTCCAGTATCACACGGTGGCACGTGGCCTGCGCGTGGGCTTTTGACTGGCAAAGGAATAAGATGTCGTCCACGTATGGTACTACTCGAATGCCTTGCTCTCGCCAGCGACGGGCTAGCTGCTTGATGAGTTGCGTGAAGACGAATGGGGCTGTCGCAAGACCGAACGGCAATGAACGAAAGGAGTAAGTGCGCCCATCGAATCCGAAACCGAGAAACTTCCAGCACGAGGGATGGATGTCGATGTGATGGTACCCGGATTTGAGATCGATAGAAAACATCCAATCCCCCGCGCGTGCCACGTCTGCCACGCGGCAGAGTCCTTCGTACTTGAATTTTGGAACGATGAGGTTTGCGTTGACTTTTCTCAGGTCAAGGATGAGCCTACATTTTTCTCTCTGCTCGACCACGTTAAGTGGGCTTATGCACGTAAGCTCGCTTGCGGCTGTCTCGACTGCAGCCCCGGTCTCTGTGAGTTCTTGGATGGCAGTACGTGTGAACGTAGCATGCGCGTATGCACCGGCGTGGTTCCGCTCCCGGAAGGCCGGTGGTGGGCCGTGGCTCCATGGAAGCCAGTAACCGTTGGCGATTATGGATAGAACAAGGCTGCAAGGGCACCATGAGCTCCACCACGCAAAGGTCGAGCGAAGCCGACCGCACATCCGTGTGACGGTTTTGTCCGTGACGGCGAATTCGTACGGGTCTTCGTCGCGAGGCACCTCGTGATGTTGTGCTCCTGTATGTATGGCAAGGAAATGAACGGGACCAATCAAGTTACACGCCTTAATTAGTGAATGCGTGTGACATATACATGCATGCGCGAAAGATGAACTGTCAGAAGTGAGAACCATACGGACGGGTTGTCATCATTCCATATTGGGCGTCCGATCGCACCTTGGCAAACTCTTTCCCAGAATCTTTTTTTTTTTTTTTTGGCCTTGCTCTAAGATTGATGCTTGGGACCCATGATCATGCTTCACTCTTGATCTCTCTCTCTCTCTCTCTCTCTCTCTCTCTCTCTCTCTCTCTCTCTCTCTCTCTCTCTCTCTCTCTCTCTCTCTCTCTCTCTCTCTCTCTCTCTCTCTCTCTCTCTCTCTCTCTCTCTCTCTCTCTCTCTCTCTCTCTCTCTCTCTCTCTCTCTCTCTCTCTCTCTCTCTCTCTCTCTCTCTCTCTCTCTCTCTCTCTCTCTCCTCTCTCTTTTTGTGCGTGTTTCCATCATTGTTTGAGCATTTGCATGCTTCGCTTTCCATGGGCTCGTGTCTTTCCGCGCGTGCCCTCACTTGGCCGAGGCGACATTGCTATGCCCCCCTTCTCGCCCTTTTTTTTTTTTTTTTTTTTTTGCTCCTTCTCTCCCTTTCTGGTCTTTCAAAGATTGAACCAGGGCTGCCCATCCCTGCCATGCATGGTGGCGGTTAGAGTGAGAAACGTGCGTACTCCTGTTTTCTCCCTCCCCCTTCTCCTCCTCGCGTTCCCCCCCCCTTTTTTTTTTTTGGCGATCCTTCACAACCAGAGGGGTGCCTTTAATGAAATCCATATCTCGCATGGTCATACATTGTCATGCCTACTAGCATGCTTCTCATCCCATCAATTGGGGCATACGGGGGACCGAGAGGCATTCTTCCTCTTCCCCAAAGCTAGGCCTATGGCCATACTTTATTACCCTATCCTAGGGGACCGAGAGGCATTCTTCCTCTTCCCCAAAGCTAGGCCTATGGCCAAATTCTACCACCCTATCCTAGGGCTGGCCCATGGCCACCGCAAGCCCTACTAGGCTGCCCACGGTCTAAGCACTCAAGAGTGCACCGTGCATCGCGCCGAGTGGCGCACTTCGCCATAGCCCGAACCCTACACAACCGGTGCGGGTCCTTGGCCCCCGTGCCCATTCCGAGGGCAGGCATTGGCAACGTGGCCTGGCTGGCCGCAGCGGAAACACGAACCACGAAAGCCTTGGAAATTGCCCGAGGTTGGAGGGCCCCGTTTTGGGGCGAACGCCATGGGGCCGTGGGTTCCACCGCGGTGGGAGCGAGCGTGAGCGCCCGCCGCTCGGTCCATGGCAGCCACGTCCGCGACGGCTTGCTTGAACGGGCGTGAAGTGAGAAGGCTTTTCTGCAGGTACATTTTGTAGCGCTTGGCAACGCGGTCGTCGGAGGCGTCTTCGACTTGAAACATTTCGAAGCGCGCGGAAATGTCGTCGAGGGCGGCGACGACCATTTCGAGTCCGCCCGCCAAGTCGCCGTGCTGCAGCTTGTATTCTGCGTGTTTCAGGTAGGCCCGCATGTCCTCCAGAATTTCCGCTTTCGCCCGCACGTGCGCGTCGTTGAACGTCGCCGCCGACCAAGTGGTGTTAGTAGTAGAGGGGAGGGGGGGAAGATGCTCCATGGAATTAAAATTTTTGGTATGGACCGGAGCCTCACCATCATCGTCGTCGGAGCCGTCGGTGTCGTTGTCGGCCACTGGCGCAGGTGGGATGCTGGCCGGTGCTTCCTTGTCGTGCCGGTTCGCCGTTGTTCCTCGCGCTCCTTTTTCTCTTTTTGCGTTTTCCTTTTTAGCAGATGCAGAGGCCGCGGGTTGTGCAATTTCCGTAGCTGTAACGCTGGCGGGCTGTTGCTTGTTGTAACAGGGACAGAAGCGCGGCTACCTGGTCCGGAGTCAACGCGGTGGTCAACGCCGGGGTCGTCGCGTCAGAAGAAGTCGCTGTTCGGCGCCTCTGGCGCTGACGCGACGGTCCAGCCACAGGCGCCGGCGTGTGCTCCGCGTCAGGCGCGTGTGGCGCCACAGGTGCTGCAGGTGCCGCCGTCGCCACTTGCGCCACACGCGCCTCAGGCGCCACAGGGGCCGAGGGGTGCTGCTGCTGGGGCGGGCTCGAGTTTTTGTTGACCTCGAGCCCGCCCAACAGCACGTCCACGGCGGTTGGGGCGGGCGATCCTTCCTCTGCCCGGCGCTTGTTACGGCGATCGCCCGTCATTTCTCGGGCGTTACGGTCGGTGTCGGAACTCGGCGCAGACGAATTGCCGCGGTTAAGTGCCGGCGTAGACGCCATTGTAGAGCGGTTGTGGTTGAAAATGTCTTGCAGAAGTGTTGAGGGTGACTCGCCTCTGGGGAGGGTGCGAGTTCTAGCCAGCTTGGACGGGGAAAAGAACTACTCGAACGGGGATGTTGATTCAGCCGTTGGAAAACGAGAAATGTGGGTGGAGGGAATGAACTCCAACCCACGGTTTTTGTAGTTGGAGAAGGGCGTTTAGCGCGCTTCGACGCTGCCAAATATTCGGTACAGACAGCTTAGCTTTCACAATACACAATTTTGAAAAACATCAATGTGTTTAAATTTTATAATATTGGCAAAAGAAAACAGACACATAAAAAAATACAGCTACATCTCAAAGTCTACATGCAACGGAATGATTGGAATTAGGGTTTGCAAGCATACAAATAGGAGTCCTACAAATGTTGTACCCTTTAGGGAGTGCCTCACTGCAGCCTATCATAACATTAACATTTGACACACCCCCATAGGCTAAGTGAGGGACACCAGGGCAAGCAAGGTGAAAACAAACGGTCACAAGACCAGTCAAGGCAAGACAAGCTCAGGGTGGAGCTCAAGGACACCACACAAATTCCGAGCACAAGCAAGCGGCCACAAGGCCAGTTCAACAGTTCACTAGGATATAAATATGAAAACACAACAAGCAGAGCAAGCAACAAGACTACAGCAACCGAGGGCCTACCTCAACAAGCCCCAACTGCACACAGAACCTGTGGTGATCACCAGGCGCCAAGGCCTTGGTGAAGACGTCTGCAGTGTTGGCCTCTGAGGCCACAAAGTCCAGGCGTGCCTGGCCGCGTCGCTGCAGCTCTCGCAGGAGGAAGTACCTCACGTCAATATGCTTTACTCTGCTCTCCAGTCGCGGCTCTTGACAGAGGAGGATCATGGCCTTGTTGTCAGCGTACAAGGTCGGTGCAGAACGAGGCCGCTCACCAAGGTCGGTGAGCAAGAAGGTCAACCAACGAAGCTCCTGTGCCGCCATGGCACCAGCGTAGATCTCTGCCTCTGCACTGGAAGTAGCCACAGACGACGACCGAGTAGACCTCCACGACACAGCACCAGCTCCCAGACTGAAGCAGTAACCCTGAGTCGAACGCTGAGTCTCCACGTCGTCAGCGTAGGAAGAGTCGCAGTGCCCAGTCAACGCCACTGGCTGAGTCCCTCCAAGCACAAGCCCCATGCCTGATGTAGTTGCCAGGTACTTCGCCACCCTCACAGCAGCTGTCCAGTGGACAGGACGGTGTCTCCCAGTCGCAACAAAGCGAGAGAGGACGCTGAGGGGAAAGGCGAGGTCCGGCCGAGTACAAGTCATCAGGTACATGAGGCAGCCCACCAGCTCTGCGTAGGGACCACTGGACTCAAAAGGCTCGTCGGGAAAGGGGCCAGTGAGTCTGTGGTCAACAGCAAGAGGAGTGGGCTGTGTGGTGGAGAACTGGAAGTCGAACCGCCGAAGGACCTGCTGCACCATGTGTGACTGCGTCAGTGTGATGGTGCGAGCGGCTCTGTCCCGGGTGATCTGCAAGCCAAGGTAACGCTGCAGCTCACCCAGGTCAGTGCACTTGTGTCTCTTCTGCAGTTCGAACTTCACCTGAGCCAGGGCTGCCCTGTCTGCTGTAGCAAACACCAAGTCGTCGACGTAGACAAGGATAAAGAAAGGAGTAGAACCCGCTCGAACAAACAGCGACGGGTCGGCGGAGGACGGGCTGAACCCAAGGTCACGAAGCGTGGAGCGAAGAGTGTCGTGCCACTCACGGGGCGACTGGCGGAGACCGTAGACTGGTCGCCTCAGGCTCCACTGGGTCCCTGGTGGGAAGGTGTCAGTGAAACCAGGAGGACGGCGCAGCCAGATCTCCTCGTGCAGTCGGCCCTGGAGGAACGCAGTGGAGAAGTCGAGGGAGTGCAGCTCGTAGTCTCGCTGCGCTGCTATGTGGAGTAACACCCGAAGAGTAGTCATCTTCGGGGTCGGGGCGAAGGTCTGGAAGAAGTCAACTCCCTCACGCTGACTGAAGCCCCTAGCCACGTAGCGCGCCTTGAACACCGGCGGTGCTCCAGGCGGCCGCTTCACCTTGAAGAGCCACATGCCATCGACTACGTTCGCCCTGGGAGGGGGAACTGCGTCGACGTAGGTGCCTGTGGATCTCCAAGACGCCAACTCTGAGTCCATAGCCGCTTTCCACTGAGAGGCCCACGCCCCTGACACTGCCTCGCGGTAAGTGCGAGGAGTCGGTATGTCAAGGGCGTCGGGGTCTCCCTCAGGGGAGAGCAGCATGGCACACACAGAGGGAGAAGCGGCTGCCCAGTACTCCAGCTCAGACTCTCTGTCCTCTAGGACGTCACAGCCAAGGGCAAACTCACCCCCGACGGACAGAGGACGGTAGGGAGGAGCTGGCACCACACGGGTGGCGTAGTCAAGGCGGCTGGCGGCAGCAAACTCAGCGACAGCGGTAGTGTAGTGAGAGCAGAGACCGACGACGGAGGGAAACGAGAGTCGGTGACAAGAGTGGCGAGGACACGTGCGGCAACAGGACGAACAGCGCGGTAGTAGTCGGTGATAGGAGTGGGGAGGGAAGGGAGAGAGGACGGAGGAGGAGACGGGAGAACGGACTCAGGAGAAGGAGAACGACGACGAGACGAACAAAGGAGGGCAGTGTGGAGGTCAGTAACAGGGGACGAGTGACGAGCACGCGGCGAACAACGGGTGACCAAGTCGCGACGGACAGAAGGAGGAGGAGACTGTGGAGGAGGAGAAGACCAGACCGCCGGACGGTCGTCAGGAGGAGGCAACGGAGAAACAAACACAGGAGGAGACTGGGAGCGGACAGGAGGAGAGGAGGAAAGGCCAAGGGCCCGCAGGCCACTCACAGGTGGGAACAACTGCCGCTCAAGAGGAAGCTGCGGAGGCGGCTGCTGCTGCTGCTGCGGCGGCGGCTGCGGCTGCTGCTGCTGCGGCTGCTGCTGCTGCTGCTGCTGCTGCTGCTGCTGCTGCTGCTGCTGCTGCTGCTGCTGCTGCCGCTGCTGCTCCAGAAGGTCCAGCACCCGCAGCTCCTGCCGCTCCCTCTCCAGCCGCTCCTGCTCCTCACGCTCACGCCGACGGGCAGCCTGGAGACGCGTGTCGTGGCGGTGGGGAGGCGGAGTGGACTCCGCAGAACCAGGGCCTCCAGCGTCAGTCTCCTCAGACTCAGCTCCCCCAGAACTAGCACCGCCAGCGCCAGCACCTCCAACTCCAGCACCCCCAGAACTAGCACCTCTAGTGCCAGTACCTCCAGCTCCAGCACCCCCAGAGCCAGCGCCACCTGCGCCAGCACCTCCAGCTCCAGCACCCCCAGAGCTAGCGCCGCCTGCGCCAGCACCTCCAGCTCCAGCACCCCCAGAGCTAGCGCCCCCAGACCGAGCACCGCTAGAAGCTGCACCTCCAGCTCCAACACCAACCGAGTCCACAGGAACCTGTCGCGGAAGCGCCGAAGGCTGCTGAGGGGGCTGTGAGGAGGACTGCGGGGAGG